AAGACTCTGTCACAATTAAAAAAAAAAGAAAAAAAGTTGATCATGTGTTTGGCCACAAAGCAATGTGAGACTTTAGGCTCGACTTTATTAAAGTCTCAATAAATTCAAAAAAGTCAAAATCATACCAAGCATATTCTTGGATCACAGTGGAATGAAAGTAGACATCAGTACCAGGAGGAACTCTCAAAACCACACAATTGGCCAGGCACAGTGGTGCATGCCTGTAATCCCAGCACTTTGGGAGGCCAAACTCAGGAGTTCAAGACCATTCTGGGCAACATAGACCCCATCTCTAAAAAGAAAAAAAAAAACCCACACAATTACATGGAAACTAAACAACTTGTTCCTGCATGACTTTTGGATAAACAAATTAAGGCAGGAATCAAAAATTATTTGAAACAAATGAAAACAGATACAACATACCAAATATCTGGGGTACAGGAAAGGTAATGTTAGGAAAGTTTATAGCAATGAACACCTACATCGAGAAGATAGAAAGATCTCAAATTAATTTGACATTTCACCTGAAGGAACTAGAAAAATTAAAAAAAAAGCTAACCCTCCAAACTAGCCGAAGAAAAGAAATAACTAAAATCAGAGCAGAACTAAATGAAATTCAGACCCAAAAACAATACAAAGGATCAGTGAAACAAAAAGCTGGTTCTTTGAAAAGATAAATAAGGCCAGGTGGAGCAACTCACGCCTGTAATCCCAGCACTTTGGGAGGCTGAGGCAGACAGATCATAGGAGTTTAAGACCAGCCTGACCAACATGGAGAAACCCCATCTCTACTAAAAATACAAAACTTAGCTGAATGTGGTGGCGCATGCTTGTAATCCCAGCTACTCAGGAGGCTGAGGCAGGAGAATTGCTTGAACCCGGGGAGGCAGAGCTTGCAGTGAGCCAAGATCATGCCACTGCACTCCAGCCTGGGTGACAGAGCGAGACTGTCTTAAAAAAAAAAAGAAGATAAGATTGATGGACTGCTAGTTAGATTAACAAAAAAAGAGAAGAATGCAAATAAGCACAATCAGAAATGACAAAGGTGACATTTGTCTCATCTGGGGATCAGACAAAGCTGATCCCCAGAAATACAAAAGATTCTCAGAGACTTATAAATACCTCTGTGCACACAAACTAGTAAATCTAGAAGAAATAGATAAATTCCTGGAAACATGCAACTTCCCAAGATTGAATCAGGAATTAATTGAAACCCTGAACAGATCAATAAGGAGAAATTGAATTAGTAATTTTTTAAAAATATGGCCCAGGCATGGTGGCTCATGCCTCTAATCCCAGCACTTTGGGAGGCTGAGGCAGGTGGATCACCTGAGGTCAGGAGTTCCAGACCAGTCTGACCAACATGGTGAAAC